GTTTCGTTATGTGTTTCGTTATGTGTTTTTTTCTCTCTTTATTTTTGTAAACCGCCCGGAGTCCTTCGGGATTGGGCGGCATATAAATGTGGTTAATCAATCAATCAATCAATCAATTGTAAATATTATTTAACATTCATAAAGGAATTTTCCAAAAGCAACAATTCTATTGGCTAGCATTTATACTCTGTTGAGAGTAAGCCACTTTGTAGGAAGCAATGTTCAAAACCAATTAATCAGATGTAATAAACTATTACATCAAAATAATACAAGCTTTTAACTACATCAGTTCCCACAGAATCCAAGTTCTTCACTGAGTAATAGATTCCCAATTTTCGTTACACACTTCAATATTTTGTTATAGCTACAAATAATAATAAATAATTCAAATAATTCCCTCACCACTGTCAAACCATTCATTAAGGCTGCATTACTATTACTATTAGTCTTCTCATCGTTCCTATCACCCATCTCCTCCCACTTATTACTACAGGACACAAGTAACTTTGTTGCTTGTATCCTTACGATTTATATTGATATTGATTCCTGACTGCTTATGGCTATCATTATGATTCTTGATAAATGTAACTTGTCTTTTTATGTACACTGAGAGCATAGGCACCAAAGACTAATTCCTTGTGTGTCCAATCACACTAGGCCAATAAAGAATTCTATTCTATTCTATTGTGGTGCAGAATGAGATCACCCTTCTCCAAGAGATCCTTGTATTAATAAAACTGTGTCTGTGTCTGCCTGACACTTTCAGCCACATTAAATTTATTATTGCACCAATGGGAGGACAGTAACTGTTGAGCAAAAATATGATTTGATGAGAAAAGACCAAACCACTCCTTGTGACTTTCTTTCATGACCCCCAACTTCATTCAAAGTGAAGTTCCTTTCACAGATTGATGGGAAAGGGGCTTTCAACTTTTGAGAAAAGTTCATTGACTCTTCTTGCCATGACATCATATATAATTCTACATAGTGGCTATCATCATCCATATAAAAGTTAAGCCTGGAATTAAAAGTGATAAAACTGCCTATTAAAATATGGGAAAGCTGACCATGGTTGAGGGCACATAACATTTATCAGTGATGTTTCTAAAGCAACTTGAACCACGCAAATCACAGTTCTGTGACCTTGGATGAAATCAACATTTTAAAATCAATATGGAGGAAAGGATATTGCTGCTTGCCTGGAATAGTGAGATAACCTTTCAAACTATTTAACTGATGGATTATTTTTTTTAATCTCAGCAATATTAAATTGAATGGTAAAAATGCTTTATTTTCAAGGCATAATTCCATAAAGTATGGTACTTATCATTTTATACAGCATTATCAAAGTATTACTACCTTTTTTTTAAAAAATGTAGCTGTTAATTCACTTAAGTACATTTAAATCAAAAAGGTGGGGAAAACTACTCAATGATTTACACACGGACTAGACAAACAATAGTTGTCATTTGCTTGACATAGTTTTATAGTCTTAGAAATGATTCAGTTCTTTGTACTTTCATCATCTAAGGTTACATTCTGACCCTTAGTTTATTATTTATTATTGCATCAATGAACAACAGAAATTCTCATCCCAATTGCCATCATAATACAAAGACATCAGAGGTAGTATTCAGCAGGTTCTGACCAGTTCTGGAGAACCAGTAGCGGGATTTTTGAGTAGTTCAGAGAACTGGCAACTTACCACCTCTGACTGTCCCTGCCCCCATCTATTCTCTGCCTCCCGAGTCCCAGCTGATCAGGAGGAAATGGGGATTTTGCAGTAACCTTGCCCTGGAGTGGGGAGTGAATGGAGATTTTACAGTATTCTTTCCCTGCCACGCCCACCAAGCCACGCCCACGGAACTGGTAGTAAAAAAAAATTGAATCCCACCACTGAAAGACACCCTGTAGTATACCTACATTTTTAAAAAGTTAAAAGTTGACTAATAGAAAAGATTAAAATACAAAATAAAACAATAATTAAAAACACAAGCATATCTCAGCAATCACAAATAAAAATTTTAGAACGCTAATTATGCAATGTTTGTTTTAAATGGCATCAATTTAAGAGGATTAAATAATAATAAAAAGGTATCCTTGTCTAACTGTACAGACTTTCATTGTATAAGAAACAAAAAATGGGGGTAAAGCCACAGTTTCTTTTTATGAGTAAAACAACAAAAAAGTTTTGATTTGCTTTCAGGACTGATTTATGATGGCATTTATTTTCATGGACACGAGTCTACTTCATCAAATAAATACATGACCTGTTATTGTCAGATGACAAGCATAGAAGGAGGAAGAAGTGATATATGTTCACTTATATAGAGTCTTTACAGCAAGGTTGGATGCAGAATACTTTTTTTACATTACTATCTATCAAGAAGTAAAACACATGATTGTTCCACGCCCCTCTCTGCTGTCCTTCAGATTGCTCTGTCTCCCATTTCAGTTTCAATGCAAGTGGACATCTTGCCAAAATACTGAGTCATGGTTATCCAAAATTTATTTTTTAATGGAACATCTCAAGGCTTTATCTCCAATTCCCTGAAGTGTGATCTACAACCCAGTAGTTGTCCACATGGTTAGGATCAGTTATTTAAATGATGAGGTAGCACTATTACAGAAATGGTTCTTGAGTCAAAGTGATGAGAAAGGGACTCATGCCTAAGGTGACCAGATTTTAACATTGGTAAAGAGGGACACCATTGACCGGGGGTGGGGGGAGTGTTCCTTGATTAAAAATTTTTTTAAAATCGGGACTTTTTAGTTAATGCTACCTTCAATCCTCATGAAGGAATAATCCAATTGAATTGATTAG